GATGCTTTTAAAGAAACTTGGGTTCCACTGTTACTGCAACAAACAGAGTAAATACTAGGGATTCTAGAATGGTATCTCAACAAGTCTATATGGGATAAGAAATCTGTTTTTAATACAAAGACCAGAGACAAAATTCTGATAATTAGCAAAAGAAAAACCATGATTCAATAAATCTGGGGCAGTTTAACTGATTTAGCTGATTGGCCACCCAAATTGGTCAGGATGAACTTCATTCTCAAGAGCTTGTGCTTTATATTTATAGATATGGTACAGTCAAAACTTCTGGAGATCAGCTATAATATTTACATAAAACAGGAGGGCAGAGGGAACAGATTTCAGCCTGACTCATTCTGAGAGGCTGGAGAGACTCTTGGGTAATGACCATGAACTGCATACATGTGGGCCCAGCTGTATGCCATGTAGACATGGTTTATTTTTCTTGAAACCTCTTTGTCTTAAGAGAGCAGCTGCCTCAAACTTTGTTTTAAGAACTACTCAGAGAGGAGGAGCTAAGGGACAACACCAAGGCTTGAAGGGCCCCAAGTTATCCAATTTTAAGAAATCCTACTCTTGTTCCTCCATGACATTAGATAATATTATCCTGTTGACAAAACAAGTAAAGGCTTTTCTCTTTACATTTTGAACAATGTCAGGAAATCAGCCCCATGTTATCAGGATAAGAAAGCAAATCTTCGGTATTGAGAGAAAATTGCTTCGTCAAATTGCAACTGTTGATGGAGGAATAGAAAAGGCAACATAAATATAGATTAAAAGATATGGAAAATGCTGATATTCCTAGAAAGTCTGACTCTTCTATCCCTAGGCAAAGAGTCATATCAAGCCCCTCAGCTTGTGATAAGTAATTTTCACTTTGCTGGTCAATATCTAGTCACATAAGGACAGTAAATCAGCAATGTCTATTCCCAGAATTGTGTTACCTTGAAGTTTTAAGGAAAATGGAAGCTGTTTTTGTTTAACTTAAACACACACACACACACACACACGAAACATGCCTTGGCTTATTGTTCTTACTTTTGTTCCAAACATTCAGAACACAAAAGATTATAAAAGTATATTTTAAACTTCTTATAGGATTTTTTAAATTATTAAAAAAAGTCATCTGATTAATTTGAAATTTCATATGATGTGGCTGTAACCAAAACTGGGAAACCTGGTCCATGGGAAGTGTAATTTTCAAAATAGTATTTCAGAAAAGTTTACAAAAAAGTGCTCCTACATGTCTAGGGAAGTGATGTAAGATCTTTTTTTTTTCCCCCCCTTAGATGGGAGAAGTTGCAGAAATAGAAGGTCCTGTGGACCTTAATGTGAAGGAGAACAAGAGAACAGTTATTCTTAGTATCTTTAGAACACGCAGGGGGAAGACTTTAATAAAACAGAAGCGCTTTTGAAAACAGAGCTTTGACAGCAGTTTAAATACCTGTTTGCAGCCTCAGCAGCTACTTTTTTTTTTGGTCATTGTTCTAAATATCTCTATCAAACAACTTTTGCCAATTCATCTTTTTACAGATGTACGACTTATTGACAGCAATTAGAATAACTGGCTGTGCAACCCTACCCTTAATCAATGCGATTCTTCCATCACTGTTAACCCCCCTTTTCCTCCTCCCTCCCACCCCTAGTAACCACTAATAAACTTTGGTCTCTGTACATTTGCCTTTTCTTGTCTTTTTACATAAGTGAGGTCATACAATATTCGTCTTTTTGTGATTGGCTTATTTCGTTCAGCATGTCGTCTTCAAGCTCCATCCATACTGTAGCATGCATCAAGACTTCATTTTTCCTGAGATTTAGTTCCTTGGTTTGGAGGTTTAGGGTCGTGATTTCATGGGACATCCCAGTTAATTGGCCTAATAACGTGTTTAGTGCCTCTGTTCTACCTCCTAGTTCATTGTACAGTACCTGGGGTCTTAAAAGCTTGCAAGTGGCTATCCAAGGCACAACAATTGGTCTCTATTCACCTGGAGCAACAGCGGAAGGAGAGTCAAGAATAGGAGGAGGATATGGAATGTGTGGCTAATTACCTCCATGAACAACTGCCTCCTTTGCCATGAAACCAGAAGAACTGGATGGTGCCTGGCTAACATTTTGATCAAAGATTCCATAGAAGAATCCTGATCAAAAGGGAGAAAATGCAGAACAGAATTTCAGATTCTCATGGACTCCAGACTTTCTGGTGCCATGGAAGATGGAAGAACCCCTGAAACTATTGCTCCGAGATAATCTTTAAACCTTAAACCAAAAATATCCCCTGAAGTCATCTTAAAACTGAACAAGTTTAGCTTAACTAGTAAAAAAAAGTCTGCCTTGGGCATTATACTCTGTTAAGAACTATCTATATGGGATCAGACTGATAACAGCAATTGGAAAGATTAGATAGGAACCTTAAGGGACAGTGAGTTTATGTTAATGAGGGTGAAACAACTCAGAAACGGAGGGTGAGAATGGCTGCACAACTTGAAGAACGTAATCGATGTCACTAAATCGTACATAGAGAAACTGTTAATTAGGTGTATGTTTTTCTGTGTATATTCTCAGTAACAACAACAAAATAAACGAAATTTAGGGAAAAAAAGGTATCTGCTTGCTTGAAATGATGGCTCCAGGCAGGGAAAAACAGTCCTAGAGCAAATCCAGGGCAGGCATCCAGCCTCCTTCTGAGCTACTGTTTAGATTAAAACATTAAAAATGTTAAAATTCTCCAATGAAGTCTAAAGTGAAGAAAAAGCAGTTATTACAATGTATTCCTATAGTTCGCACCTTCTAAACTACTTTGAGTCATTGGTGTAAATGAATACCTAGGTACATTAATTGAGAGTCTCATTTTAAGAAACGTATTCATGCCATTCAGATACACTTACCACACAATTTCCTAAATTGTGGAAATACATACCCTAGCTTTCTACCAAACCAAAACCAAACCCGCTGCCGTCGAGTCAATTCCAACTCATAGCAACCCTATAGGATAGAGTAGAACTGCTCCACAGAGTTTCCAAGAAACACCTGGTGGACCTGAACTGCTGATTTTTTGGTTAGCAGCCATAGCACTTAACCACTACGCCACCAGGGTTTTCCACAGAACATAAGAAATACCTTTACCTTTAGAAGTCAATAGAATTTTCATACCTAGCTTCCTTTAAGAGCTGTTGTTGTTCTATCTTAAACTCACTCAGATTTTCTTGGATCATGACTTCTTACTTCTCTGCTGATGCCTCAACACTACAGAGGGTACTTGTAAAAAACACCCTTTTGCAAAGCTTCCATCAAAGAAGCTTGCTTTATCATACTACAACTTTTAGAGACTATAATGAAGACATTCCTAAATAATCACCCTTTTTACTAGCAAAATATTATTTTTTGCTTATAAAGATTTGTAATAACTTTCACTATGTCTTGCTGACTTAGAGTGTTAAGAATGGTTTTTACCTGTGGATTGTGTATGTCTAGCAATAGCCCCAATGAAAGGAGAAAGGGATAAGAGATTCTCATTTCTAAAATCTGTCATTGAGGACTGACTTTCTTATTAGGTGAGATTTCTAAAGACACCAATCTTTTCTAATACTGGGATGAGGGTGTGAGGAGTATGAGGCTTGTCCAGGCGAATAACCTCTCTGAGTAAAGACAGATAATCAAGACTTTTTCTCCATTCTTTATAGGTTTTGCTCACAACCCAGTAAGAGATTCTTATCTCCTTCCACAATATCCTTCCTATCTTTTTATTAACAAAGCAATTCATGCCACCAGATTCCAATTCCCAAAAGTGCTTTGATCTCTGTCATAAAAATTGGAAACTGCTAGCAAAAGGTATAGGAAAACAGAGGTAGACTGGCTAAATCTTCGATCTTCTAATAAAAATTATGTTTTTTTGAGAAAGGTTTCTAGTTTCCTTGAAGGTCTCAACATGAAGCACTACTGTCTGAGATACTTGCTTCAATGCTGGCACCCCACATCCCCAATGACATCAAGGAATTCCATAAATTTGCACTCCCATGCTTTGATGCAGTTGTGTGCCCAGACATGCACGTTCATTGCAGAGCTGACCAATGAATCTGGCGCCCGTGCTCAGTCTAAACCAAAAATGGGAACCTAAGGATCTCCAAAATTTCCTTAAGTAGTTGGTAGTGACTTGAAAAACAAACTAAGGGAAGATTTTTCAAATACTATATATGAATACTCGCTTTGGTATTCCAAAATATGCCAATGACATATATAGTTCAACCTAATGAGTGTTAAAAGATGGAGAAACATCCTAGTGGTTGATGAAGAAGACAGGAAATCCTCACTTATCCCAGGCCCTTTGGCAAGACTTTCAATTCACATTGAGATCATCCCACCGTAGTGAGTCTTCATTGCCCCAGTTGATTTCAGGAAAACTGACACAGAAAAACAGAAGGATGATGGGGAGAATGGCTACAATTGCTGATGCAATAGCATAGAAGGACGTAAATACTTCTTGCTGTCTAAGGTTCTGCTGAGGGCATTATAAAATATTTAGAAATGTAACTTCGTTTGCAGATGGGGTAAGTCACCTGGTGTTCAAAATTGAAAGCAAAAGAATCTGTCATCAGCTAAAGCTTTTTGAAACTTTCTCCTCCAAAATTCTACAGGTGTTTTCAAATTATGCCCATGGTTAGATGGATAAGGTTTAAGTAATTCTAAGAAAACTCCTCATTACTATTTTTTATTGACTTTACTAGAACACATTAAAAGGAATGGAGAGTCCAGAAGAAAGTAGGTTATTATGGTAAACATTTCCCTTGGCCCTTAGAATCACTAGGTTTGGGGTTATTCAGGTAGAAGTGCTACCCTAATCAGGTTTTCCACAGGTTTAGCCACTGAATCTAAGAGACCTTCTTCAATGGCAGCTAGGCAGAAAGAAAAAAAAGAGAAAAGAAAACAACAACAACAAACCTCTAGCATGTGAAAAGTTATTCATCTTAAATCAAAGATGTTACCTTCCAAAAAACCAGGAGTAAAGGTTAATCAGTTCAAGCCAGAAACCCCAGGTTGAGGTTTCTAAGGCCCTTTTATTAGGGGAAGGTCATCTTTATAGCACAAGACTTCATATATGTATCAACAACAGTCAGATCATTTTCTAAAAATCAGGCTAAAAGAGAAAAACAATACAGATGTACTTTTTATATGTACTGAAGATAAATTAAAAGAATTTATAAAATGGTCACCTTTCTTACAGAATAAACGCAGACTGCATTATGAACGCACCTCCAGGTTTAAGTTGCTTAAGTTTGTTTTGTTTTGTTTTCCAATAATAAATAAATAAAATTTGTTCTTAAGTTTTGAATCCACCCGTGTCACAGCAGGCCTCTAACCACTACTGAGTTTTCTTCCCGGGGGCACTCCTGTGTGCAGCGTTTGGATGTACAGGGGTTACCAATTTCACTGGCCCATCAGTGTGTACACTATCTTTTCGGGGTGGCATTCGCTCATTAATTCGGTCCAGACCTCGGGCTTCTTCAAAACTCCGGATCTTGTGCTGAAGCGAAAACCCTCTGATGGCTAGAGAAAAACAGGAAAGGAGGGAGGGGACCTCAATTAGGCAGCAAAATGACAAACTTATAGATGTTTCTTAGCATACAACAACCAACCTCCTACAGAAAAACATAGAAGGGTGGCTAAGGAGCACATGCCTGGAGAAGTAATGGGCATATATTTGATTGAATTAGCTTCGTCTGAAGCTACTATTTCCTTAAGGCCCCCAAACAGCTGAAACTGTGAAAGGAATTTGCATAAAAGCTCAATATGGTTAGTCATGGCAGAAGTATACTGACAAAAAGCTACAAAGTTCTTATTAGCCTCAAAACATTTGAGAAAGAGGTTCTTTTACCAGCCAGAAACATGCTCAATGCTAGGAAAAAAGGCAGCACGAGAATACTACAAGTTAAACCAGAGCAGTTACTTTAAGCACAGACACCACATTGACCACAAAAAAGTAACAAAGTTAACAAAAAAGTAACAAAAAACTGTTCAAAAGGACAGTTTTTTTTAATCTTGCACAACCAAGAGCTGAACGTAAGTTAAAAGCCATTGAAATAGCTTCTAGGTATTTTCCTACTAATTCAATTTTTGTATGGTCAAGGAAAGACATTCACATTTTGAACCACCTTCCCTAATAAGACAATTAAATTTATAACACAGGTTTATCCATGTCAATAGTTTTCATCCATAAATTTATAGATAAGCTGTTATTTAAAATCGGTTTCCACAGAAACAAAAATAATTTAGCTTGACCACCTTAGGGCAACCTCAGAAATGAATCAAACTAGATTTCTGTCTACTATTGCCTTTACTCTTGATGTCCTTTAGAATCATTAGATAGAGATTGACCTGTTTGAATCTTTTGCAATCAAATGGACGTCTCTTGCACATGGAAAGGATTTAGAATTAAACTACTCGACCCCTCATGACCAGTTGCTTAAGCTTCAGCTGCAGCATTAAAACTGACAGAGCCCAGAAAGGACCCTAGCCCCATGAGGTCATTTACATTAATACAAACGTAGTACACAAAGGAAATACTTGCTTTGTGAGCACGCCTAGAAACATCTATGCCTTTTCTCACTGTTACAGTTCTGGTGATGCAATAATAAAAGATTTCAAACTGTTGATAAAGCTTTTTAAAACTAGTAGACAGACACAGGACCACATCTATCAGAGGAGTATGGCCATACCTTCCCGGGCCTCTACCGCTTCTACTGTGGCTGTAAGAGGGCAGGAGCAGTGGCATGCAAAAATGAAGACAGAAAACGAGTGAGTAAACCACCAGCACTGCTGCCAGCACAGACATCCCGGGGCCCCACCTTTTAGCCTATCCCCACCCATGATAAAAATCCACTAAAGATGTCAGAGGATTACTGCAAGAAACTGAATTGGGGTGGAATAGGAGGTAAGGAGAGTTTCTAAAGTTTCTAACACTTCTGGTGGCATGGGAACACTTTAGCTAAAAGTACCTATAGCTAAGACACTGGGTCAGTGAAGCTGATTAGAAGAAACAAAGAATTATGTTGCTTTCCTTACTTTAAATAGCCAGTAGCTAATTTATGTCTTGATATGTACATATCAAAATAACTTATCAAATCAAATAATTTAAGATCACCACCATTCTTTAGTTTATAATAGCTCACATGGTATTAAATGAGCTGCTGCCGAGTCCTATTTTTTAAAAAAAGAACTTATTTAAAACTACTTCTTACTGCTTTCAAGCAACTTAGGTAGGGCCCAGCTTTCTTTTTTAATTATTAAAAAAAAAAAACAAAAAACAAAAACAAAACAAACAAAAAAAAAACAACTAGCCTTGAATAACAGAAGGCATTTGGAAGGAGAGAAAAATGGGTTACAAGTGAGGGTTATTTCTTAGCAGGGGGTTGAGCACTAAACTGGCAAAGGCATTAAAAAAACCAAACCAAACCCGTCGCCATTGAGTCGACTGTGACTCATAGCGACCCTATAGGGCAGAGGTGAACTGTCCCACAGTTTCCAAGGCTGTAATCTTTATGGAAGCAGACTGCCGCATCTGTCTCCCGTGGAGCAGCTGGTGAGTTCGAACATCTGACTTTTCAGTAAGCAACAGCAATCTTAAGCACTGTGCCACCAGGGCTCCTTGGCAATTCCAGACGCAACTTCATGTACCATCTGGGAGTAGAGATAAAGCAGGGGCTGACATTTCCAGCCCATATGGCTTCCATTCACTATGTGAGAGAGCAGATCAATTACTAAGAAGGCCCTGTTCTCCCTCAGAGTGATGGAAAAGGAGGCAATTTAAAAATCAGCACTGACAGGTAAAACTTTCTTGCATCTTGTTTTTCAGACAGTAAAACCCTAATATATGAAAAGGTTATAGGTTGTAGCAAGAAAGATCTCTTAGGAGAACCCTGTCAGTTCCTCCAATACCAGTTTTCTTAAAGCAGGCAGGGAAGAATAATGAGCAGAACTGTTGGCTCTTCCTACCTTGATATATCAGTGTAAGAGGAGAAACTGGTAAGAACTGAAAAGTTAACTTCCTAACACAATGTGGAAAATGGATACTTGGCAATAACTTATCAAGTGCCTACATTTGCCAACCACACGTAAGCATATATTAAAGCAATGTCACACCCTCTCTAATCTCGAATGGAAAAATACACTTCACAGGAAAACCACCGTGCATTCTGACAGTACATCACAGACGCTACTGTTAGGAAGTGGGAGAACAAAGCATTGCCTGAAATTGTATACAGAGTGTTGATCTAATTAGAGTTTAAAAGCTATGTGGTAAAATGTGTACTAGCATTACATTGTTCTGAGGCCCTCCTAGAATTGCTTTTTGCAATGGGGGTGATATGTATGACATCAGCCTGCACTGAGGAATACTATAAAAAAAAGTCATATAAAATTGAGCAACTGACTTTTTTTCTCTTTTTAACATCTTAAATGAGATATAATTCACATACCCTAAAATTCACCTGTTTAAAGTGTACAATTCAATGGTTTTAGTATATTTACAGAATTGTGCAATGATCATCACAAGCTATGTTTAGAACATTTTCCATCACCTTAAAAAGAAACTCCTAGCCACCAGCAGTCACTTCCCATCTCTGTCCCTTACTGCCCCCACCCTCAACCCTGATCAACCACTAATCTACTTTCTGTCTCTATAGATTTGACTATCCTGGACATTTCAGATAAATGGAATCATATAATACATGATCCTTTGTAACTGGTTTCTTTCACTTAGCATATTGTTTTCAAGGTTCATTCATGTTGAAGCATGTATCAGTACTTCATTCTTTTTTATGGCTGGATAATATTCCATTGTATAGACTATTGAATTTTGTTTATCCATTCATCCGCTGGGTTATCTCTACTTTTTAGCTATTATGAAGAAATGCTGCCATGAACATCTGCATACAAAAACCTGCGGACATGTTTTTATTTTTCTGGGGTGTATAACTCAGAGTGGAATTGCTGGGTCATATGGTAACTATGTTTAATAGTTTGAGAAACTGCCAGACTGTTTTCCAAAGTGGTTGCACCATTTTACACACCTACAAGTGCATAGGGTCCCAATTTTTCCACATTCTTGCCAACACTTGTTATTATCTGTGTTTTTTATCATAACCACCTGAGTGGCTATGAAGTGGTATCTCAATGTGGTTTTGATTTGCATTTCCCTAACGGTTAATGGCGGGAGAAAGATGTGGCAGTCTGCTTCTATAAAGATTATAGCCTTGGAAACCCTATGGGGGCAGCTCTAGTCTGTCCTATAAAGTTGCTATGAATCGGAATCTACACCATGGCAATGGGTTTAATGGTTAATGATGGAGTCCCTGAGTGGTGCAAACTGTTAAGCCCTTGACTACTAGCCAAAAGGTTGGTGACTTGAACCCACCCAGAGGTGCATCAGGAGGCAGGCTTGGCGATCTGCTTCTGAAAGGTCATAGCCTTGAAAAACCCTAGGGAACAGTTCTACTCTGCACACATGGGGTCACCATTAGTTGGAATCAACTTGATGGTAACTACTAACAACAACAACAATGGCTAATGATGCTTATGGCCATTTGTAATGTAAGTCTTATTTGGAAAAATGTCCATTCAAATCATTTATCCATGTTTTAATTGGGTTATTTGTCTTTTTATTATTCAGCTGTAAAAGCTCTTTACATATTCCTGATACCAGTCCCTTATCAGATATATGATTTGCAAATATTTTCTCCCATTCTGTGCACTACCTTTTCACTTTCTTTCTTTTTTTTTTTTAATTGTACTTCAGGTGAAGGCTTACAGAACAAATAGTTTCTCATGAAACAGTAGTACACGTATTGTTTTATGACATTGGTTAACAATCCCACAACATGTCAACC